CTGGTGGTTGTTTGTTGTTGTTGGTTGTTGTTTTTGGTTGTTGGTGGTTGTGATTGTTGGTTGTTGGTTGTCGGTTTTTGGTTGCTGGTTGTTGGTTGCTGGTTGTTGTTGTGATTGTTTGTTGTTGTGCTTGTTTGCGGTTGGTTGTTGTTTGTTTGTTTGTTTGTTTGTTTTTTTTTCGTTGTTGTTGTTGTTGTTGTTGTTGTTGTTGTTGTTGTTCTTGTTGTTGGCGATGTGATGGTGGTGGTTTTGGTGCTGTCGTTGCTGCTGCTGCTGTTGTTGTTGCGGTTGTGTTTGCTGTTGTTGGTGGATTGCTTTTCTGGCGGTGCTGGTGTGTGTGTGTGTGCTGCTGCGGTTGTTGCTACTGCTGTTGTTGCTGTTGCTAGTGCTGTTGTGGGTATTGTGGACGTCGCCACAGTGCTGGTGTTTTTTGTCGTGTCAATGATGATGGTGGTTGGGTGTTTTGTTGATGACGATGACGAAGAGGATGATGCTGCGTCAGGTAAAGGCGGGTGGCTTGCATGGATGGTCCGGCTTCGCAGCTGTTTGAAGCCTGGCCCCGCGCCAAATCACAGCGCTTGCGAATCTGTAGGATTGGCGCTTAAAAAGTACTGTCCATTTGGCTTAGCCTGTTGGGGCAGCCTTGTCCATGTTGCTTTGAAATTGCAACCCTGGACGTTACGTGTTCTTTGCTTAAGCTGGTCTTTGCACTTGTGCGCCGCTGTGTTTCTGGTGCCATCCTGTGTATTTTAGGGATTCGTGGGTTTTTTTCTCGCTGGTTGTTGGGGTTTGGTTGGTGCCTGACTGTCTGCTTAGAATATGTGGCTAGTTGCTGGCCTGCTTCGTTTCATGGTTGCTCCCTGGCTTGGCGGGCGGGTATGTGAGTTTGTTGGTAGAGCGATTAGTTGATTCGTAGGCCGGTCGATTGCTAGGTTGCTGGTTTGATGGCTGGCTGTTGATTTGTGCTGTTGGCCTGTGTGGCACAAATGCCTTGGCAACCGGGAAGCAAAATAAATGGGCCGTCCGTCTCAGTTTTGAAAAGGCGTTCCGCAAGGGCAACTTGGCCTTTTTGGACGACTCAATCAATCAGCTTCTGGTCTTGGCGTATCAACACATTGCCAGTCAGAAGCAAACAGCAAGCGTCTTGTTGAACAATCCATTCAGAAAGTGAAAAGACGGCAGACTTGTACGGCAGGCGTTCGGGCTATGTGTTTTTGCTGTCGTGTTGTGGGAACTGCCAGAGCAGATTGGTAGTCTTGCGCAGGTCCAGGTGTTTACACACAGGCACACACGCACACCGAACACGTGAGGCTCCTTGCTGCCCACCGCACCTTCGCTGGTCAGGGCCGAAGAGGCAAGCCGGGTAGTGTCTGTTGCTTGTATCACTACCGCATGCGGTCACTCCCCAGGGTTCTCCGACGCGGCAGCTGTGAATTGCAAGGCTGAACATGCCAACCTGTGTTTGATTCCTTATTCACAGCCCAATATGCACAAACATTGTCTCATTAGCTTCGTTGGGTCTGCGCGGACTTCCAACGTAAAAGTGCGTGCAGTCAAACATCAAGCAAACAATCAAGACACAACGGAAGAGGGCTGCAGTCTGCAAGTCATGTGCGACTCATGAAAAAGACATGGCAGACCACAGGATCGAAATGCAGCGTGCCAATGCTTTTGAATGTTCTACGTTTCCGCTGTCAAAGTGCGTCTTGTCTAAAGTGTTTAGAGCGGTTCGTGGAACGCCTGGTTGACGACATGACCCCCACGCATTTTCGACAGGAAGGCCTCGCTTCTGGGTCTTGCTCAATGGTGTAAACAAGAAGCGGAAACGCAGAGGCGTTTTACGCCGCCACACCTCCCTTCCTCGAGTGAAACAAAGGGATGCCGGGCCAGCAAGCAAGCCAAAGGACGCCGTGCCAGGAATCAAGTAGTTCAGAATGTAAACATGTTGCGCCGCCGCGCCTAATGTCCCTCCGCGGGCCTAATCCGGGCCCCTTCGGCCCGAGAAGATTTCTTGCGCAACTGGATCTATCCTTCATGAATGATCAAGTGTCAACGAATGGAGAACACTGTTGAAGGAAGTCTCCGGTTGCAAGTGTAGGTGATGTTCTGCAAAGCAGAGCAAGCAAGCAAGCAGGCAGGCAAGCAAGCAATCGCAGCTTGAATGTCCAAAGCATAGCTACCAGGCTTGAGCAAGAGCATGGATACGTATCACCCTTGCGCACTCCCAGCACGGGCAGTGCTGGCTTCCGGGCGAATTGCCAGGTTCATTGGAGAACCCTAGGGTTTGGTCCTGATACGATATGATGGTACTAAGCTTGCTACGCCATCCGCCAAACCTTTGTGCAAACATGTACATTCCAATTCTTGTTTCACCATGGATGTGGCTGGCATATCCTTCAAGGCACCTCTTGTTGGATTCATAACCTCGCAGCATGCGCGCGACACTTTTGCGAGGGATGTTCCAAGGTATTTCCACAGATCGTCGCGGTACTGCACGTGTCCAACACATTTTTGCAGGATATTCCAAGGCGCGCGCGCGCATTGGAAATCCCGCGCGAAATCGGGTATTTGCAGCCATGGCAAGAGAATTTGTCACAATAGATTTTAGAACCCCAAAGCCCACAGATTGCAAGCCAGTGTTGTTGAAGAAGTGTATGCGGACCTCTGGAGAGTCCAAAGCGAAATGCAATGCAGGTTTTTGCCTCAAAGGCAAGAAAACGCATGGAGGTTTGTGCCACCCCCCTAAACTTTCAGCCCGAAGAGAGCCCCAATATCGTCCGCTTCGAATCCAGGAGCACATCTCTCCTCTGTCATAATAGAGACACAGAACTGGAAAACGCAACACATCAACACCGGCACCTGCAGAAGCCCCTTGCACTTCTCAAAGCACACATACGCAATGAAGTGGCCTCTTGGGAGGAGCAAACCGGCCAAAGAGCGAGACGCCGGTTTCAAAAACCCCAGGGCAGGCGCGGGCGTCCTTGGTCTCATGGCCCACCCCCGGCCAGCCAGAATTGGCTGAACACTGCCCAGGTGCCACCCGCACCAATGCCGGAAGCTGCAAGGCCATTGCAGGGAGCGTACTGAACTTCACCAAGCAAGTTGCATCCTATCCAACCAATTGATGTTGATGTTGTCTGAGACTTGGTTGTTTCCGACCAATTGATGTTGATGTTCCCTGAAACTTGGTGTCGGTAGATGCCTGAAAATGCAGTGTAATGGTTTGGCTTGGACAATTGCAGTTTCTTGTTAGGGTATATAGCACTTTGGGATTTCTTTGCGGCGTCTGGTGTCACTCATCCTTTGAGAAAACCTGCCAAGTTGTAGTTACACGGCGCAGCGAGAACATACGGTATGTTTCATCCACGAAGCGAAGACGTAGTTGCCTGCAGCACTGGGCTTGTTGCCCTGGATACTGGGCCATGTGCAGGCCGAACGCAGCATCAAGCTTGCTGGCGCGATGTGGTCAGCTTCATTGTTCCATCTCCTGCTCCGCAGTTCTACAGCTATCCGACATGTCTGTGAGGAGGTTTGATTTCAACAAAACGCAGCGCCTAAAACAGTTCCCAGCGACTGGTGTTTGTTACACCTTACGAATCCCAGCAAAGGACTGGGCAGCAAACTGGAGCAGAAACTCCATGTGAATGCAGTTTGCTCCATGTTCTCAAAGTCTAAGTGAACTTCGCGAAGATTTGTCAAAAGTTTGTGCACGTGACTCACGGCGCTTTGACCATCGAACTTGATAGCGGTGGAAACACAATATTCCGCAATTTCATACCCAGTGCAGCGCAAAGGTTTTGACCTAATGCATTTGGGTAGCCGCACCGGTGTTGTGTCCAGCCGCTGGCAGCATATTTGCCGGTTGTAGTTTATCGCAGGGACTTCGGCCCTCGGGTAGGCGTAAGCCGACACGATTCTAGCCTGGAGCCGAAAGCAAGTCTCAAACGAACCCACTATTTGTTGTCAGCGCGCACTTTTGTTCGAGCCTCTTAGAACTTTTGTGTTGTTCATTGCGCGTGCTCATTTGTTTGGTCTTTTCTACAGCCGGCTGGTAGCAGAATCAAGCAGAACTTGGAGAACACATTTGGCAATCATCCATTTGTTTTGTCAATTCCGCAGGGCGCAACACCGTTTGTGCTGGTGCTTGATTGCGTAAATGTTACAAGGAGGAAGCATGCGCTGGCTGGTCGAAAATTGCCATAACGCACCCCTCATTCCTCACGCCGGCAGCGACGCCAAGCCGGAGCCCGAGGAGTTCCGACGCAGCGACCGTGGGGGATACGGGATCCCCACCCCGCAGGGCCCGAAAATGGGGGGGGCACATCTGAAAATGTAATTTGTCTCCCCCAACAAAGTAAGGTCTTTTCCCCCTATCGGGCTATTTTTGGGGGGAGGGGGGGTGGTTAACATGTAGCTTGATTCCTGGGCACGTCGAAGGTGTCTTTTGCCCACCCCCCTCAAAAAAAGAAGATTGCGAATTTGTGGTCGTTTCCCTCTTTACAGGTGAATTCCTCTCCATCAGAATAGATCTTGCTGGAGGACCTACGAGGCGTATTGGTGGCTTTCTTGGGCCCCGGTATAGCGGAGCAGGTTCTCCGAACGCAAGATGTCAAGTGAAGAGGAATTTTAAGGAGCAGAACCACCCGCAGCAGCTTTCTCAGGAAGCCGTCATCACGGCGTGAGTTCCCTTCGATGACTGCAAAAACTGTCTCCATCGCGTGATGGCCGTGTTAGTTGGTTTCGGTATGAAGACCTGGTACGGGATTGGATGACATTCATGGTTATAGAACCCGCTCCTCAAGAATCGACTCGTTGAGGACGCAGCAAATTATTGGATAACGAGAAGCTGATGGACCCGGACAACGGCGTGGAGTATTTTCTCAATTTTCTTCGCGGATATTTCCTGAAAGGCCCTTTGAATGTTTTCCTATATAGATTCCTCAGTCTCTTCAATCATGGCCGATGAAATTCTGAATTCGGGACCTTTATCAGCAGATCCGAGATTCTCCTTCGAAGACCGCGATCATCTTGCGAAGATACAGCGCCCGGATTCACAGAGACCAGCCCAGAGTATATTCATGCAATTAATGACGCAAATCAGAGAATGCGTGAACAGCATAATCAGAGAATTACTGAGGTCGCAAGGATGATGCAAGGTCTGCCGCAAGCAGCCGCAGCACCCGTAGCGCCCGACCCGACTTACCTCGATGCAGCACAACCAGAAAACTTTGAGAGGTTTTTCGGAAAGGTAAGAAGGAATTCACAGTTTTTCCACTGTCGGACAACATGTTGACAGTGTCTGCTTCATACAGAGTGATCTTTCAGAAGGCCAACGAGAGCGATTGGTATCTTCATTGGCCCTTAGGCGTTCAGCTCCCTCAGTGTACATATGAGGCCATCAAGGCCCAGTATTATGACCTGTTCATTGTTTCCAGTATTATGACCTCTTCAGGCCGGCCGGGTGGCAGAAGACCTTCTATATCCTTGAGCAGGGAGACACGAAGGAGAGGCAGGATTCTGGGTACAAGATGAAGAAGGTGAAGAGGGCTTTTGCGCATCAGACGATGACGAAGCTCTTTGGCAGCTGGAGGACCATGATGCTTTTGTTCTCGAAAGACTTCCACGTCAAATTCTTAAGTCTGGCAAGGGGCGAAAAGGGAAGAAAGGCAAAGGCAAGCGCCGAAGAGCCCGCTTTCAACCCGTTAGAAAAGCATAATCAGGCGGCAAGGCCAACATGGCCAACGAGAGCGCCACCGAAAGGAAAGCAACCTTAGTATCAAAAGGGAAAAGGGAAACCCTTCAACAAATCCAAGGACAAAACAAAAGATCCAGGCAAGGGCGAAAAGGGAAAGGCAGAACCAACACCTTCGCCGTGCGGGAGATGCTGGAACTTCGGTTTGATGTTCTGATAAAACAAAGAATGACATCTCTGATAAAACCAAGAATCGCTGAAATGAAGGTATCTGCGAAGGATGCAAATGGATGGCGTGGAAGTTCATTCGCTGGAAGTTCTTCTGGTTCTTCTGCTTCTTGGGCATGGTCGCCGAAAGAAGTTGGCTCACCATCCGAATCTTCTTTGTCTCCATAACCTGATAGGAACTTCACGCTGCTCTTCCTCGGAGTCTTTCTCAGTGTCGGCTTCTTAGCAAACAATGGTTTCTCTTCGGTTTCAGCCATCCTTCGAGGATTCTGTCATTCTCGAACTTTTCCGACATAATCTTGGACATGTACTTTATCTTCAGGAATGCGACGGGGTCCTTAATCCCACGGTCATGACCGGATACACAGGTATTGCAATAACCCCAAGGAGGAAGCAAGGCAGTTGGCTGCTACCAAGTGTACGACTTGGACGATGTCTGGAGCATACTTCAGAGTTTGGTATGGGCTTTTGTCAGAGAAACATTAAAGGTACAAATAAATAGGTTGAGTTTAGGAGTACCACTTCCTGCATCTCACACCCGAAGTAGTCAAACCGTCGGCAAGATATTCCGAGATGTCATTATCAGCACCTCCGGAACGGAAGTAACCCAAGTTTGGGCCCTCCTGCCAAGATCAAGGGAGTCGTGGATGTGAAAGTGTGTAGTTGTGCAAGGATCCTGCACCTTGAGTTCGACCGTAAGCAGTATGCAGCGCTAACTGTTTGAGACAAGGGGTGAATTCTGTAGAACCCATGTGCATCGAGCCGGGCTACTGTTCCTAACGGTGGGAGTGTACCATCCCGAGCGCAATGCGACTAAGTCGCACAACACAGTTATTAGAAACATGGTCAAATTCGTAAACCGGGGCTTAGAACGCATGGTAGGTGCGATGACTGGCGATGCAAACTCAGCTTGCAACAAGCTGAACAGCCTTCGCTTGGCTATGGAAGGAATCGTAAAATGCTTCAATGATGCCCAGGAAGAACCATTGAACCAGCTTCGAGCGCAGAGCCTCGAGGAGATCCATTTTGGAATCTGCTATCAAATTCGGCGCAGCATCCTTTGGAGCATGATGAATTCTACGGAGTCCTAGATTGCTTGGTAACCCATGTCTTCCATTGGGCCAAGACGAACCGTGTGAGAGATCTTCAAGCACGGAACATATTCGACGATCTCAAGCCAGATACGAACCAGCTGTTGGGGAACATATGCCCTGATTACACGGTGAGCTCAGGTGAAAGATGCAAACTTTTGACCAATGACCCGTTTTGGATCAATGAGAACAGCAACATCTCCGAGGCAGCGTTGAAACAGAAGAGAGAGAAGGCGAGAGAGCACGGATATCCCAGCTTAGGAGTAGCCAACCATGATGCGGCAATGTCATCCTAATGACATATGACATATGATCTTTCTATGTCTGTTCGCCCCAGCTCGCCGGAATTTCTAACCACGATTCTTGGCACAGTCATTTCCCTTCTGTAGATGTCATGTACATATCCGGAGATTCTCACCTTGAGCCCGTCAAAAGATACATGTGTCCGTCCTCGGGTGTTTTTCTGAACACAAGGCTACGGCGCAATAACCCGATGTGCTGCTATTGCTCAAACTCCGTATATTCAGGCCGAAGAGCTGTGTGATTAAATCGTTTAATGGCATATTCTTTGTAATCTGAGATGCCATGAGTGGAAAGAAGTTTGTGTTTTTCTTTTCTTGTTTTGTTCTGTGCTTGTGTCACATGATCCACTCGTGAAGCAAACTCTTGCACGCATGGCTCAAGGCCTGCATGGTGTATAGTAAAGGAGCCATCGCTTTGCTGATTGTGGAACTTGCATTAGTTGATCATTCTTGGACCAAACGCTGACTTATATTTCTTACTGTGGTCATTTCCATTTTTACAGATTTATTTTTTTGCATCGGAGTAGAGCTTCCTGGAGGACCTACGAAGTGTATTGCTGGCCCTCTTAGGCCCCAATATTTACGACCTAGCACATGCGGGGTGAGCTTGGATTGCTGGCGCGTGCCGGAAAACAATGGAAAACATAGGATAATTCAATACAACACAAGATAATACAATATAGTACAATATCATACTTGATAGTAGAAGACCCCATCAGACCCCAATTGGAATGATTGCATTGTGTGGCATTCTGTAACACCTTCGCGCAAATCTTGAGTCGAGTTTCGCATCATGACCAATTTCAATCAATTTCATCCAATCTCCCCAAGTGCTACTCAAACACATTCAAGCGCCTGAAAAAATGTAACATGACATTTCTGATAAAATGTAACGTGTGAGGTACTTTGTTGATGGGCCCACCAGCGTCCAAAATGTAATTTTACGTTTGGCACGTCCCCAGAAGAAAATGTAATCTTATTTTTTAGGTGGCAAACCCCAGAAAATGCAAATTATACTTTGAGACGTCCCCCCGCCCCTTAACGGGGTGGGGATGTTACGGGTGTTTTGACAGGTGGGTCGAAGGGGCAATGCTTGTTGGCTTTGGGGCTAGTCATTGTATCAAGATATATCAAAGACATTTCTTACAAAAGGAACACTTGATTTCCGCCAGCCATTCTGGCCGCTGTTGCCTGACGCCTCTGTGTCGAGTCATGATTGTTTCAACCCACGAAAGCTCGTGGGCCAAATGCAAGTTTTTGCAACAAAACCTGCAGATTGGCCATGTCAATGTGTTGCTCGGAGCGGCTGTCATTCGTTTAGAGACGATTTGCTTTCGAATTTGCTGTCCATCTTGAAATGAACATCATATCAGGCTCCCAGTTTGTGTGATTTGTCACCCACTGGACGGCGGTGGCCTTAAATATTTCGCATGCATTGACTCAAGACCCCGAACCTGTGCGGCGCTTGCAGACTCCCTTTTCGTCTGATGCGTGTTCCAGGAGTCCACGGTGCAGTTTGAGATGATCCAGCGAGAATGGCAGAACCTCTCCATGCAGGACCGAACTGCATGTTCATGCACAGGGTTTGCACTCTTGTATTGGTGCGTTTGCGTTGGGTTTGAGGCTTGTTTGGCGAAATGGACTTGGAACTAAGGATGCATGTATCCTGAAATGTAGGGCCCCAAAGATACTTGGTTTCCTTGTGGTGTTGCTTCGAACCGCATCCAAGAAGAGGCCTCTCCAATTTTAAGACACCCCGCATGTTGCGTTGAAACCGCGGGCAGGACAACTGGGATGGTTTCCGCATCGAGGCCCAGAACAAGGTCACAGAGACCTTGCAGGCGCGCTGTAAGGGGCGCTCAGGGTCCCTTTCAAAGATGGACATAAGCTGCAAGGACCAAATGGTCCGCAGTCAGCGTACCTCGGCCCGGTATTTGAAATCCGCCAGCCAGCCGCGGCGGCGGGCGGGTCAGCCAACCGCGGCCGGCCGGCTGGCCAGCCATGGCCGGCCGGCGGATGACAAGTTACAGTCCGAGGGATTCGGGTTTAAATTCAATCCCAGAAAAGTATTAACTGCGAAAGCAAACACTCATTTAGTTCAAACAAAGCAATCCTTATTCTCAGCACACTTAGCTCTGGATCAGAATCCCAGTGGAATAGGGGAGGCCACCCATTCAATGTATCGCCTTGCTTTTTCAGCATTCTGTATGTTATCGGGCGCAAGGCGAGCCCAGAGTTTGAAGTGAGAGTCCAAAATATGTCAAATTTCAAATGCCAAAATGTCAAGTGTCGCAAAAGTGTCAAATGTATCTTGTTGTTCCATGGCAAATGTCGCTTGGCCATGTCGAGCACCTGGACATTCTCGAAGCACTTGCGACATCGGCGAAGAGGATTGCCTTCGGCAAGCACTAAGGAAGGCATTTTGGGATTGCTTTGGTTCTCCGGTTAAATGGAACGTCCCAAAGCAGCACGATCCGCTTCTTGGCAGGCGACGCACTCGGTCTTCCTAGGCACCCGCTTGCGGGAGCATGGTGCCCAGTCGTTTTTTTTTTTTTTTTTAATTTTTTTCTTTTCTGTTTCTTTCCGCAATTCTGAGCATGCCAGCCGAGATGAGGGATGGTGCGATTTCATCACTAGAGTGCCGCATATTGAGGTGCGGTTATCTCTACCAGTTCGGCCCGGCGTTCCAGAGCCAGGTGGGTTCTAACTAGTGGGCGATTGGCCAATCTTGCAAACGGGAGTCCCAAAATTGAGCGGGGAGGTCTCGCAGGTCCAAATCCTGGTGGCTTTATGCTGGCATTTGTGTTCGCATAATTTATGTTGGCAATGAAAGGGAATCAACGATGCAACATGGATCACAAGGATGAAGTTGGTTGACACTGACTGTGAGTGAGGCCCGAAGCCTGTTAAGTCACACATGGAAGGCAAGGAGGCTTGGGCTGAATGTGCCAAGGCCAGCATGAATGCAATATGGAATGAAGCATGTGCACAAAGCAAGACTTCAACTGGGATGTGTATTTTGACTTGTTTCCCTTAAGGAGGGCGTGTGCGTTCAGCAGCCACGGGTCCCTCCAAATGAAGTCATTGAACTGAGAGCAAGGAGCAACTTTGCAGTTGGAGCACACGACGGTGCCATGTGAATCAAAGAAGTCTGGCGGGTCACCTGCTGCAACCAACTTGCCTGCCACCTGCGCTTTCTGCGAAAGAATCCTTTTGAGCCATTTGTGGCTCCCACCCACAGACACGTAGGACGTGGTTCTTCTGTTAATTTGCAGCGTAGGTAGAGAGAGGGGCATTGGTTGCTTCTCGGTGCGGAAGAGAAAACTATCCCTCGTGTAACAGGCATTTGCAGTGGTTGATCCATCTTTTTCAAGGGATGACCCCCTCCTTCCCACGCTAAGTTCTGGAAATATGACCGGCGCATGTGGCCGCTGATCAAGCATGTCAGTCAACACTTTGGTTGGTTTGCTTCCCAAGCTTTCCAAAGCATTTTCAGTTTCTTCGATTGGCCCAAAAGGGACAACAGTGGAATGGCTGAATCCTTAGGTCTTTCAGACGCGGGACATCCGCACCTGGACATGCGGAGACAGACAGTTCAGCCAGAAATTGGAGCCGAATTTGTCATCCTTCAATTGCAATACAAAGCAAGGCTTTCTAAAGAGCACAGGCTTCAAACATTTTCCACCTGCTCCAAGCATTCCCAGGAAGGCGACCTGTTCGAAGCACCCACCCTCCCCGCTTTGCTACAAAAGCACTTCACTGCGCTTTGAATTGGCTAAAGGCGAGCCAACTTGGCAGATTCTGAGAGTTGCAGAATCTCGCCTGGGGTTTCCCTTAAAGAGCAAAACGCACAACATACCAGTACATGGCATTACATGCCATAACATGCATGCATAAGGTATGAGCTAAAGGCAAATTGGGGGCCATTCTAACCACCCATAATTTCTAGACTGAAAAACACTGCCAAAGCAGCTTAAACCACCCAGGTTAACAACATGTTGACACGGGTTCCAAACCGGCGCTTTCGACAACTCCCAATTGAGGAGGGCCTCCAACTGAAATACGGAAACATGGCAAAACATGGAAACCTTAATTGGGAACCCCGAGACGGAGCAGTAGAGCAGTAGAGATGGTCATGTGAGTGATCTCCAGCCGCAGGACGGACGGACGGTTTTGGTGGCCCGAACGGGCCTTGACGGCGGGGTGAACGCACGGGTCATCCAGAAGGCTCGAATTCCGGGGCTGGGTGGCCAAACCGCGCCTCTGCCAGACAGTCAACCGCGAGTATGCAAATCCCGAAGTTGCGGCAACTTGCTCCCAGTGTTTGAAAGTTTAGTGGCAATATTTGCTCATGTTTCACCATTTGTTCCAAAGTTATATGATGACACTCCCTCATTTGTTTGTCGCAAACCATTGCAACACGTCTCAACCACCCAAGAACACCTTACACTCGCTCGATCCGAATGTTCAGGTTGAATATAGGTTCATAGTTTGAGTCGTCCCAAGATTCTTTGGGCAGCAAAGACCTTGACATGAAAGGCTCGCATGGCCTTTTCGCTGCCTTTCCATGGCCAAGGGCATCACTAGGCGAGTGATGTGATTTTGGTTTTGCGCTTTGCTTTCGACACACAACTCAAGTTAGTACCACTCGCAGGTGCCTCGGGCTTGCTGTGATGCATCCTATTGAAGAATTATGGTTGGATGTGTAAGTTGATGATTATGACACGAAAATGCCAAGGCGCACCACAGCCTGTCCACTCCATTGTGATAGCCTGATGGATTGCTATCCTTGTCATTTTGTGTCCCGGGCCATTGTGTGGTGACCGCCGCAAGCGCCAGTTTGGCAAGTGCTGGGAAGTGAAATGCTCCTCGAATTCCGACTTGAAGGCCTGGGACGGGGGGTGTTGGAGCGCCAAGGGTTGGGTGTGTATGTGGTTTAACCAGGTGCAGGGTCGGTAGTAAAACTAGGCAGTAAATCCCTAAACGGAAGCACAAATCATGGGCCAAGATTGACGCCTGATTCCAAGAAATCTTATTCACCACAGATGCATGTGGGCAGGGGGATTCAGGCCTTTCAACAAAGCTTCCGCCCACAGAGGAGCTCAGAACCCCGACGAAAGATGTGCCAAAGCATGACGAAGGCACGGCAACTTCACCGAGTCATACTCCTGAGACACCACCGACTTTGCCAAGATGTGGTCCGGCACATCTTTCCTAAGACTCCTTGAGCTCCTTGAGTATGCCCTCTTCATAGCCCGGCTTGTTCTTCAACTCCACCTGGCCTTTTAACAGAGCCAGCTTCCAGTTGAGCACCTCTCGCTTGTACTCCATCAAGTCGATCATTTGCAGGGCTATCTCTTCGCTGACCATCGGACATCCCGCCACCATCGTGATCTCCACTTGAGCGCCCTGTTACGACACAGAGCACTTGCCGTTGGCCCACACCGATCGGCACAATCACCTGCGTGCCCTTTTCCGCTAACAAGGTCAACGTGCCCGGCTTACTGCTCAGCTCCGAATTCCCTGCAGTGGGCTTGCGCCTGCACGGGAAGCCGACAAAGAGCAAGGTAACTGACCAGACGCTAAAGACCATATGTCCACAATCAGTTCACACAAGCACCGGAAGCACCCATGCAGCTAGTTCCGTGAAAGATTAATGTGGGAAAGCTGGTACCGCAAGGCGAGGGACATAATGCTGAAACACTCACCTGGTACCTTGGGCTAAGTGAGGTTCAAAGATACTAAGGTGACATCAAGTAGCCAGGTCCTTGAAGGTCATGAGGGTGATTCTGATGCCCAACGGCGCGGGCAATTGCCGGCCGGACGAACAAAACGACTCCTTGTTACCAGTAACGCTTGCTTCATAAGAAAGGGCTGCAGTGGAAAATGACAACAAGTCAGGTTTTGGCGAAAAAGCAGGGTTTCCAAACCAGTGCAACCTCGAACAACCACGACAAACATGACACAGCTGCCAACTGACACAGCTGCGCAGACGTGAGCAGCCAACTGAACGCCAAGCTGCACTGAGGAAGAATCTGCGTCAAGTTTGGCCTTTACTTCCTCAAACCTGTGGGACAAGAGAGCCACCCACTAGCTTTCGACGGCCTGCAGTTGCATCATTGCCACTCACATCATCTTGCTGGGCGAAGTAGGAGCTTTTTGTAAAATCCACCGGACGTTGCTTTAAATAAACTAATGCGGAGTTTCTATTCAATTCATTTAGATCAGTTTGTGAGGTGAGCGGATTTTGTTCGTCTGGCGAATGGAACAGCATATGCAAGCGCAATGCGTGTGAAATCGAAATCGCACACGTTATTGGGAAGCAAAAGAGAATCTGGCAAGCTTCCCTTCATCACCCCGGTCACGATCTCCGGGACGCTGCTTACCAAAGAAGCCAGGCCCGGGGGATTTCTTGCTTAGATTGAGTCAGGCTGCTGCGCTTCTTTTCTGCAGGGAGTGCCTTTCACGGCAGCCCGCAGGGCATCTTCGGCAGCTGCTTCCAAGAAGCAAGCTCGAGCCTGAAGCTGGATTCCATCGCAAGGAGGGCCTGGCTGTTCCGCTTAGTGTCGCCCGCATGTCCTGAAAGGACTCCCCCCCGCTTGGCGCTCAGCATCTCCGACGCAAAGCAGCGACAGTTGATCGCGTCCTCCAAAACCAACCTTGGTGCTCTTGCTCTCCGTTGTTCTCCAGCAGCCAGCTTTCGTACTTGAGCAGGGTCCGGGCGCCGCATTCCAGCGCTGCTGTCTTCAAGGCGGCCTGAAGCCGCAAGGAGGGGGCGCTCACCGGCAAGGAAACTTCTGAGTTCAAAAACAGCCAGCCTGCGCAGCCTTCTTCGGGTCAGCCCCAAAGCTGTCGCACTTGACGCGTATCAGCCAGAGTGACTGTAACTCGGGCCAGCAAAGCCTTCATCTCGAAAGCTGCTGTGACCAAAGCCTCCGCGTACCCAAAGGCGCGGCCCAGCTCACTGGAGCCCGGTCGTGCCACGTTGTCCGCTCGGCCTCACCAAGGCCTTGAGAAGATCAAGGTCAGTGTTTGCGGTCTCACAACAAACATGGCTCCCGCATCCCTTCGAAAGTTCAACTCGAAACATGGCTCCCAGATCTGCAGGCGAAGGTCGTGTGCGCAGCAGCCTGCAATGCTTCCAGCAATCTGTCATTCACCCTCTCATTCGGATCCTCTACCGTCAGTTAGCTCGGGCCAGCCAAGCCCTCACTGATTTTTTAAACAAGGTCTCGCCACTAGAGGCCCCAGCGCCTTTCGCTATCTCCCATTCCGGGTGTCACGGAGCACCGTGGCACACAAACTGAGGCCTTCCTGGCTTGATGTCCGTGGCAGAGAAGTGCAAAAAGTGCTGCTTGAGCTTTCTCTCTGCTTCCTCAATCATGCTCCGACGCTCAGGATCCGTGAAGAACTGCTGGGTCTTGCTGTAGGGACTGCTCAGCCCGCAGCGTGCTACTCTGACTTCTTTGGCTCCGTCTTCTTTTTTTGTCTTCTGATTTTGTCGGCCTCCTTCCGCTTTTTTGGCGCCATCACATGAGCGATTTATCACTCTCAATCCAAGCGTACCTTTGGATTGTACTTTTGGGGGGCCAGGCAGAAAATGTTTTTCTGGAATTGTTTTCTTAAGTTGGTTCTAATCGTAAACGCTGTGCGTGGCCCGCCTCGGCCCAGCCGAGCGCGCAGCGTCTGTGGTTCGACAGCAAGCCGCAGGGCTGGTCACGTGGCGATTCAGGAATGGGCAGGTTCTGGCGTCGTTGGACCGATTGATGTCATGGGCCGAAGTTGCGCAGGAATCCCCGAAGCAAGGGCGATGCATAGGGCCAGGAGCGAGTCATGGAGCCAAGAGTCAGTGGCGCTGCGTGCTGGGGGCTAGTGGATGTCATGGGTGGAAGTTGCGCAGAAAGTCGCGACAACCAAAGCAGAGCTGTGGTGATCCGCGCGCGCGGCGGCTTAGGCAATGAAAGCTGTTCGCAACGGCTTTTCCATGTTAGTGCTGCGCTGAAACCCAAAAACCCAGGCCCTTTGGGTGGGGACTGACGCTTGAACGAACGGAAAAGTTGGCTTGCAAGGACTGCTGCAAACAACAGAAAGAGAGAGACAGAGATGCAGAGCATGAAGCGCATTACCTAGAGATACTAGAGACAGATGCCATTCCCTTCAGTCTTGCTGCCAGCTGCCCAGTGTGCCCCCACACCAGTGGGACAGACTCCGATGGCATGAGAGAGACAGAGAGAGAGAATAGCGACAGACAGAAAGGCAACAGCCGACAGAGACAGTCACAAACAGACAGAGACAGATGTACAGACAGACACGCAGACAGACAGACAGACCGACAGAATGATTTCAGTTCACGGCAAGAGCTTCTGCTACTCCAAGCATTCTCCAAGGCCAGGCATGTGCGCGCGAATTTGGTACTGGTGCTGCTTCACAACCCACTGGTAAACAAACCCTTGTTCCTTTTGTTTTAGGGATTCGCCCCCTTGTAAGTAATGCATGGAGTAGTGGAGAGTCGTGAATTGAACATAATCAGTGTCTGTTCGTTTCTTGCTTGCTTGCTGTCGGGTCACTACTGTTGCTCCCATTAAATAAAATATTAGCAACTTCACCCACTGGATCTGAGCAACCACATTCCCTGTCACTGCTACCAAGTCATGAAGAGAGGGTTGTTCCAAAAAGCTGGTTTCTCCGCAGGTCATCCCGAAGTGTCGGGCGCACTTTGCTGTTGTCTGCCAGCGGCTGCGCCACGTCTTTGTCCTGCAGCTTGAGGGCCGCCGTCAAATGGTTGTGGCGCAGCACCACGGAGCATTGACAGTCAGAGTCAGCCAAGGCAGCTCAAGGTTAGGGCGAGCATTCGCTGCAAGACTTGATCGCCCACTCCGTGTCGGACCATCACAGAGCTCACGCCCACCAACTGCAAGCCCCAAACCTCGACGACGGTGTCCATCTGACAAAGTTGGCCCGGCACGATGGCTGCCACGAGTGCGCTCAAGGTGCTTGGCGCAGCCTCGCGTCAGCTTCTTGCAGCCTGCGGATGCAGAAATGTTGAGCGGACAGTCAAGGCCTTGAGGAGCCAGCTGCCCCGCTCCCAGGACCTCTCCTTCTACTTCTCCACCAAGACGTGGAACAAGAGGACGCACTCGCCAGCGCTCCAGCATGCCGGCGTGCTCTTGCCACGCGCGTCGAACCCGCCTGGAACGCGCTGGGCGGAAGGCGCAGTGATGGCCGCGGAGGAGTGCTAGGACCTTCGACCAAGTTGGACCTTCCAGGTTCGACCAACGAGCGCAACCAGCAGCTCGCGCTAAGAGGAATCTGGCGCTATTGGTCCAAAATTAAGCTCATCAGGCAGCGGGATGACTGTCCCTCCACCGAGGAGGTGGGTGGAAGCGGGTTAGATACCCAGGTGCCGTCGTGAAGCGGGGAGATGTTGAACCCAATAGTAGCGAAAGGGGAGATTTTTTGAGAAAGCTTAAACTTCAGACCTGCGCACTCCGGGAGCTCCTGTACTGTTACGATTCCAAGCTCAGCGTCAAGGACATCTGGAACCTTGACGGGGGACTATGCCCTCATTGTAAGGCGCATGCTGTTCGAGATCCACTGCGTGGTGAATTCCCGGAGAGGCTCAGGATGCGTGCCGAGTATGATCGCCAGGCCACCTTGCCGATCGTGGCTCTCCCGATTGACATCAAGGACTACTTCTCCGGGAAGCACAAGCGGGCGCAAGTTCAGCAGTGCGCTTGAGATGGCTGAGCAAGCTGGCGTTTTGCATTTCATGTGTCCACGATGGCGCCCCCAACACGTGTCCCGCTTCAACGGGTTGCTTGTGTAGTGAAGAAACAAAACCCAGTTGGTGTTGGCACTCAATGCTCAAGCATCGCTCGAGTTTGACACGGGGCGCTGAAGAAGGCCCAGAAAGACATGGCGAACAACATGCAACAACCAGCGTGACAGTTGCACTTTGGCAGCGAAATGACCGCTGGAATTTCATTTGTTGTTCCATGTTCCCTTGATCTGGGGACCCCGTCTAGGGGCCGGGGTGATGTTCAGCGTGCGTTTTGATTCGACAAGGACACCGACGGGGGACTGCTCCCACCCTGGTCAAGTTAGGTCCATCGCCGGGGCGGGGGCTGACTTTTGTTTGCAGCTTGTTTGACGTTTTCAGCTGCCAGGATGCGCAGCGCAATATGCACGCCACAGCCTCGGTTCCCTGCGAAGTGAAGGTTATCCTTGGAGAGCCCCTAAGGCTTACTTTGCTTGACAGGGGCATCGCTTTAGCTTTAGGGACGGACACATTCTTTCGCTTCCAAGTGATGTCCCAACGGGTACCTTTCGTTGTTTAAGTGTTGTTCCGGACTGCTGCGGCCCAACCCAACACATAGAAATTTGTTGAAGCGTTTCCAACACTAGCCCAATGGCGACCAACTCCCAGACGCGGTATGTGCATACGTTTCTTGCCTTGTTTGATGTCTATATGGGCTTGGGCCAGCCTTCGCAGGCGCCCACACACACACACCTGTGTCCATACATATTTACCCCTGACACACACTTGTAGGGTTACCGGACATCACGAACACTGCGGGTACCGCACACGCGCGAGTGTGTGTGTGTGTGTGTGCGTGTGTCTGTGTGTGTGTGTGTGTCTGTGTGTGTGGTTGTAAACATGGCCAACCTTGCGTGTCGGCAAGGCATGATCTATAGACATCTAAGAACTGAGACATATTTGCATACACATGTACAACGTATATTTATAAACACGTAGTATGCCATGCCTACAGCCGGGCTTGCGGTCAGCTGGGGGGGTGAACACTTAGAAACGCTCCAGATTCTGCCGGTTGGACTTGCGTGGGTACCATGCGTCTGTTTCTGTGTGTGCGTAAACACGACCAATATCGTCATTCCGCACGTGTGTCAGCCAAGCATGATCTAGCTTTGTTACATATATAGATGTGTGCATGGACAAAGTCTCTTGATATACATATATATACATATATATATATATATGCCAAGCCTTTAGTGGTCTTGAACCTAGAGAGTTCAATGCTTGAAATGTGCAGTTTTAGCCGCCCCCGGCCTTATAATCTGGAGCCCGGAGTCCTCCAAATGTCCCAATATGCGATACTTTTCCAACACATTTTAATTCAACTAGAATGGGAACTGTGCGTAGAACTTAGTAAGGACACAGTTTTCGACAATGTGTTATATGTTGAGCTAGAACTTAAACAATCAGTTCCTTTCCAAGTAGGAGTTACGTCAAGATGGAAACAGAACCGCGGGCAAGCTCCAACTAATCTCGAGCAACAAAACCAGATGAGTTTTTTGCCAATGTTAGTTTAAATGTTGATATGGCCTAATACGAACATAATGCAATTAGCTTTTGGTAACAGTTTAATAGAATCCAAATATCATTTATATTAAGTATGGCTAGTCATTTGCGATTTGTGTTGTTTACATATGGCCCTTGTAGCATAAGAAAGGTCCGAAACTAAACTTGTTCGGCGGTATTCCAACATGGAGATTTCAAGGGATTAGACATTCAAAGTCTAAAACTATCCCGAAACAGGGATTCTAGCTAAATCAGTTTAATTTTCCGTCCTTTTTCAACAGGAACTCATAACTCATTCTATCATGCTGCAAAATGCAGTGTTTTCAGCATTACACCTGGGTCAACATGAGCAGTGCTTACACGAAGCATACCTCTGACCAAAAGCACTTGAAAGTTTGTCTTAGAAATTGAAGTGTTTCCACTGGATCGCCTTACTCACACTCTCGCGCAGGGTCCTCGGAGGATGCTGCGCAGGAACTCTCAAAGTTGTTTTTACAACCTCTTGGGCCCAGCTATGGATGAAGGAATGGGCTAACGAATGAATGAAAAACCTGAATGAAGCCACGAAACCGAATGCAAAAGATGGCCTTGGGGCATGTCGTCAACTCGAGCAATGTTATTTGTCTAGCTGGAGCGATGCTTTGAGCGACGTTTCTGAGCTCGAGACACTTCAACAACACTGCCGTCCAACCGACTTTTGTCGAGAGATGCTCCTGAGCAAGAGCTTGCGCGACACTTCTGAGCAACGACTTGTGCGACGCTTCTGAACACACTTTCGCTGCTGAGCGACAAACTACGGCAAACTGAGCGACTCCTTTACACACAGAAAAACGGTTCTGAGCAACAGTGCAAGCGACACTTGTGCACACAAGCACACACACACACATGTGAGCAACGCTTCTGAGCGACACTCCTCAGTGACAGCTCGGGTCACCTTGCTACACACATGCCTGAGCGACACTTTTGAGCGATCCTCCTGAGCGACACCTCTGAGTAATACTTCCGCGCAACACTTCTGAACGACACTCCTAGCGAGCGACACCTCTGAGCGACACCTCTGAGCCACACGCGCTTCTGCAACACTTCTGAGCGCAACACTTCTGAGCAACACTTCATGAGCGGCGCTTCTGATCGACACTCCTCAGTGACAGCTCGGGTCACCTTGCTACACACATGCCTGAGCGACACTTTTGAGCGATCCTCCTGAGCGACACCTCTGAGCAATACTTCCGCGCAACACTTCTGAACGACACTCCTAGCGAGCGACACCTCTGAGCGACACCTCTGAGCCACACGCGCTTCTGCAACACTTCTGAGCGCAACACTTCTGAGCAACACTTCATGAGCGGCGCTTCTGATCGACACTCCTCGGTGACAGCTCGGGTCACCTTGCTACACACATGCCTGAGCGACACTTTTGAGCGATCCTCCTGAGCGACACCTCTGAGCAATACTTCCGCGCAACACTTCTGAACGACACTCCTAGCGAGCGACACCTCTGAGCGACACAGCAACACATCTGATCGACACTTCTGTTCTGAGCGACACTTTCTTCTGGGCGACTCTTCTGAGCAGCGGTTCTGATCGACACTGTTGGTCGACACTTCTGAGCAATGCTGCTGATCGACTCTGCTGATAGACACTTCTGACCGGCGCTTCTGATCGACACTTCTTTCTGATCGACACTTCACAGCAACACCTCTGAGCAACACTTCTGATCGACACTCTGAGCGACACTTCTCAGCGGTGCGACACTTCTGAGCAAATCTTCTGGTCGACACTTCTGGTCGACTTGTCCGAGCAACGCTTCTGTTGGACGCTTCTGATCGAAACTTCTGAGCGACACTTCTAGGGGACACTTCTGGCTGACACTTCTGGTCGGCACTTCTGAGCGACATCTCTGACTGACGCGACACTTCTGAGAAACCCTTCTGGTTGACACCCTTGACCAACACGTCTGAGCGATACATCTGATCGACGATTCTAACCGACGCTTCTGAGCAACAATTCTGAGCAACACTTCTGAGTGACACTCTGAGCGACGCCACACTTCTGAGAAACACTTCTGACCGACGCTTCTGAGCAACGCTTCAATCTGAGCCACACCGCTGATCGACACTCTGAGCAACACTTCTGAACACTTATCGGCGCTGCTGATCGGCGCTTCTTTCTGATCAACACTTTTGATCGAAACTTCTGAGCGACGCGACACTTCTGACAACAGCCCTGAGCGACACTTCTGAGCAACCATTGTGAGCGACGCGCAGCTTCCGAGCCATACTTCTGAGCAACACTTCTGCCTGACACTGCTGATCGACCCTCCGAGCGAGACTCTTCCTGGAAACGCTTCTCAGCGACGCGACACTTCTGACCAACCCTGCTCCAGCACGTCTGATCGACACTTCTGAGCGTCAATTCTGATCAACACCTCCGCTCAACACTTCTGAGCGACACTTCTGAGCAACACTTCTGATCGGTCTACGTCTGACCGAGAAACGTCTGAGCAACACTTCTGACCGACGCTTCTGAGCAACACTTCTGATCGACACTTCTGAGAACACTTCTGATCGACACTGCTGAACGACACAGCTGATCGACGCTTCTGCTCGACACTTCTGATCGGCACTTCTGAGCGACACTTCTGAGCGACACTTCTGAGCAACGAAACATTTCTCAGCAAGACTTCTGACCGACTGACCGACATTTCTGAGCGACGCTGCTGAGCGACGCTTCTGATCGACGCCTCCGACCGACACTTGTGAGCAACACTTCTGAGCGACACGTCTGAGCAACTCGTCTGATCGACACTTCTGGTCGACACTTCTGAACGAGCAGCACTTGTGGGCAACGCTTCATGAGCGGCACTGCTGAGCGACACTCCTGAGTGAACAACACTTGAGTGATCGACTCGATCGACGCTTCTGATCGGAATTGTGAGCGACATTTGTGAGCGACACGACACGTCTCAGCAACACTTCTGATCGACATCTGACCGACACTTCCGACCGACACTTCTGAGCGACTCGACACTTGTGATCAACGCAGCAACACATCTGATCAACGCTTTTGAGCAACATTTTTTCTGCATGCCTGAGCGACGCTTCTAATTGGCATGTCTGATCAGCACTTCTGGTCGACGCTTCTTCTGATCGACGCTTCTGAGAAACGCTTTGGATCGGTCGATACTGCTGATCGACACTTCCTAGAGGTGCGTTTGATCGCATTTTAGGTGGTCAAAGGCCGAACAGGCATTTGGGCGTGAAAAACGATTTGGCCGGGAAAATCCGACAAGGGCCGCATGGCCGTGAAAAAGCGTGAAAAAGCCGTGAAAAAACGCCAAGTGGCCGTGAAAAAACATGAAAAACGTGAAAACACAGCGCTGCAACCATTTGGCCGTGAAAACGGGCAATGTCAAGGACACATTTTTTTCAAGGTCGCGAGTGGTATGACCTCCTAAAATGTGATCGAACACGCCTCCAGGTTCTGAGTGAGACTTCTCAGCGACGCGACTCTGCTGAGCAACGCTTCTGATCGACACACCTGATCAACACTTAAGTGATCGACACTTCTGGGCGGCGCTTCTCTTCTAATCGACACCTCTGAGCGACACTTCTGAGCGGCGCGGCGGGCGCTTCTGAGCAACACGATCGCTGCAGCAACACGTCTGGCCGGCACTTCTGCTCGACGCATCTCCTGGGCACTTCTTGAGCGACAGAGCAACGCGACGCCTCGGAGCAAGACTGCTAAAGACGCCGGGGGGGCTTTGTGGAGTGACGCATGACTGCGTGTAAGTTAACTTAGGAGGCTGAATTGTCTAATTGTAAGTTCCCCGTAAGTTCACCGCGCGTCCCTTGTTTCTCGCTGAAA